GCGCGCGTCATCTGTAGCTGATGCAGAACTCTATACAATAGGCCAGCCTGCTGCAGAACGCTTTGTTCAGCACGGCACAAAGCCGACGAGGACGTGGTTCTATAGATCCAGCTGTCCCAATTGTGAGTGAGGAAGGGGGGGCGGGGTACAGGGGGTGTAGAATCGCTGTGTCATCCTCCAGTATATCAGCATCGGTGCTGGAGTGTATCAGGCGCCATAAGGGCAGAGGGAGCGGTTGCATAACTCTGCTGCTCCGGCATCCGTCGTCATCATCCTCATCACGCTGCACCGACCCTCAAACACAGACTGACCACCTCCCTGTTTTCATGTTTTATGTATCGTCTCAACTGTTCGCTGTGATCTTGAGTAACTACAGTAGTGATTTCTTGTTTCTTTCTGTGCTCACTTGTTAGTGGTAGAGTTGGGATTTACTGCTTCCTCATACAGCCGGTACTACACAGAAACACACAGATCATCATAGATTATCTCTATCTCACATGTTGCGTCTAAAAACGCGCGTGGAAAACGCCAGTCGTGTCGCTTTTATCGTTTTTTCCAGTTGCGCAACTTTCAGCCCGCCGCAATGACGACGAGGATGATGATGAAGTTGCGGTGATTTATTAACAGTAAGTCTCGCTGACTAAACTAAATGGATTTCCAGGGACATAAATCCGTCACAGCAGCTCTACTGCTTGATTTGTCTTTGACTGGCTGACATCTGAACCCAATGTTGTTCCTTTAACGACGAGGGTGAAACGAGAAACAAGTAATAATATTCTGTGGGAAAGGAAATAAAGCTCAGCGCAGGACTGAATTTTACCTCAATATATAATATGTTATTTATGGAAGAAAGAAAATATATCTGCTGGTAATAAATCAAGAGAGAAGTTGAGTCATTTTCTCATAGACTTCTATACAACCAGAGGAGTCGCCCCCTGGTGGACAATAGAGAGAATGCAGCTTTAACACGTGAAGCTTTGGCTTCACTTTTCAGAGTTTGCCGCCTGGCTCAAACCACATTTGGAGATGATGATGATGGTAGTAATTAAGGACTGAGCCTTCTCCCTTCCTTCCCATTTCTGTTGAGTTGGACATGAGAAGACCGAGTTTATGAGCTGAAGCGCAAACAAGCATTTCAATTATCCTGGAAGCAAGAGTTTAGTTGGGTGATGTAAGAGAGGATGTGCAGCGTGTGTTACTCACCTAGAGAGGTGATCCACAACTGCTCGTAAAATGATGGAATGACTTCCTTTTCGCAGCGATTAAGGATATGAAAGCCATCTAACCCTCGTCTCTCCTCAAAGCCAAAAGCCACAATCTGCTGCAGTTTGTCCTCTTTAAGTGAACTAATAAACGTACAAATGGAACACGGAGGATTTGCGTCGCTGCCTTCAGTCTTGTTTAAAAACATTTTGTTTTTTTGCAAACAGAAATATTATACGTGTTTATTTTGCATTCAGAGCGTTCACTGACGAGGTGTGAACTGACCTACTTTGAGCGGTTCACTTCAGATCCGGGTCACCCAAAGACGATGTTAGTGCCAGATGTGAACAGAGCCTAATATGTGCTCAACAAGTTATCCAACTCCACACTCCTGATCATAATCAATATCTACAGTATGTCACCCAGAAAACTTCTGGTCTGTATTCGACAAGTTGAAGTGTTTAACGTGTGCATTAAAAGATCAATGAATGTAATGTTTGTATGTCGTTGTTTTCCCCAGTTAATAAGCTCTATGAGCTCAATAGCAGAACACTGTTTGCCCTCCCTACTGCGCACGCTGTTCGACTGGTACCGGCGGCAGAGCGGCACCGAGGACGAGTCCTACGAGTACCGGCCTCGCTCCAGTACCAAGTCCAAAGGGTGAGACGCTCGTCTTCATTTCAACTATGTCTTCTTCTTCCTCTTCTTCCTCACTTACGAATCATTTATAGGTGATGTGTAATTAATCATTTTCTCTCTCCCGCTCTGCAGAGACGAACAGCACCGGGATAAAGATTACCTTCTGGAACGGAGGGACTTATCCATAGACTTCATTTTTTGTTTAGTTTCAGTGGAAGTTCTGAAACAGGTGCGTTATCTGACACTCTGCTCTGGTTTACTGGTTTACACTCCATATATAAAGTCTTTATTCCAGTTGGGTAGCTGGGGTCAGTTGACTACTGTTTGACCCTATGTTGACATGTCATTAAAGAGTGGCTTTGGTTACACCATGTAGTTCCGCTTTAACGTCCTCCAGACAGACGTAGAGTTTCTTTGTTGATGTGATATCTGTTGTAGTAAACATGTATACTGTTTCTTTTACCTTTGGAGAATCGGATGCCGGGTGTCTGACTGTATTTGATTTAATTTCAAAGTAAAGTTGATATAGTTTGTAGTTTATATATTTCTTGAAGTTAGGGTGACCAGATGAGGATGGAGTGACACTCTGGGACAGTAGTTATAATATTAGAGAGGAGAAGTCCCGCCCCTTCTTGTGGACCACCATGGGACCTCATTTCAGAAAAAAACATCTTCAGAAGTCAACGGCGAGAGAGTTTGATTTTTGCTATGAATTACAAATATGATGTTTGTCATTTTAAGTGAAGAAAGTCTCAATTTGTTGTAAAACTGTTGAAGTATAAGACTGTAAAAATACGTAATTATAAAAACTACACAACCAAAAGTTGTACCAGGATGTTCTCACACCGGTCTCACTCACACACGGCTGATAAAACACATCAAGTAAGTTAGCTGTTAGCTAGCTAGCCGAGGTAACGGCCATGTTGTATGATGCGATGGTGAGAGAGGAAGTTCACTGAGCGGTTTCACACAAAACTAAATGATATTGTGTGTAATTAATGCCACAATTCAAACAGGATCGAAAAAAATATTGCCGTTGGCTATTGTACATATTTATTATGATTTAAGGTACCGGAAAGGGGCGGGACTTAGTCTTTCTAGAGGAAAATTATTTTCCTATAGAGAAAGCGTTGCCGCTGTGTGTAGGAACTACTGTACATGGCTTTAAAAAACTACAACAGCCACAATTCATTGTCTTATTCTTGGGACAAACAGGACAGTATTTAGGATTTGGGATCTTTTTATCTTTATCATCTTTTTATTGTGAACAGTTATTCAAATGATCAGATATCTTAACTGGCAGTGCAGCATTCACCACTGATGAGAGTTGTTTTATTATTTCACTCATGCTTTGCAGACGTAGAAAGATAAGAGCATTGTTTCAAAGTTATTTTTTATTTACTTATCTCCTGTGGTGCAGAAATGAACTGCAGTGTTTGTTAGCGGAGTCTTTGCCTGCAGGGTGACACGGTAAATAAACACAATAGCATCAGACCAACTCCCGACTCGGTTGTGTTTCTAAAGCGGACTCGTCCAAAATCTCTGCAGCATTCTGAACTAAAAGCCGATCCCTGGGGACCGGAGCTAAGTTGTCCTTGGCTTCTTTCCTGTGCGTTTGCTCCTGAATGGAAGCAAAGAGAAAGACTGTCAATGCTGCTAATAAGACCAATGATTCCATGTTTTGCATCACAGATTCCTCTTCATCCAGTGCCAGATGTTCTAGTACACGAAGTCCTAAACCTGGCATTCAAGCACTTTAAACACAAAGAGGGGTAAGTACGCAGCCACACTGATGAATTAGGCATGAATAGAAAGTACTGATGAAGATACAGTGGTGCTCTTACTTCAATAGACGGGCATTGTGTCTCTGTAAACTGTCATTAAAGACACTTTATAGAGGTTATTCGGCTTTTCACGAGCAAGTTCTTCTTTTTCCAGCTGTGACAGTCGGCTAGAATAAAAGGTTTTGCAAGGATAACTTTTCAAAGTTACTTGTTTTTCAATTGAAAAAACTTGTTCCACTTGTTTTACAAATTAGAATAAAAGGAAACCTTTTTTTCCCCACACCTGTTCTTTAGTCATAAACTGAGAAGAAAAAACTATTAGTATCTGGCCTCATAGTCCAGCTGTGACAGTTGGAAAACAGTTAGAAAAAAGGTTTCGCAATTTTTCCAAAAACAAGTTTCTTTTGTCAGGATCATGTGATCACGTGTTTGTTGTTGCAATACTCATTCTGGCCACAAGAGGCTGAAGTGCAGCACCACCCCATGTTCTCAAATAGGACTACAAGCCTTTCTGTATTCTTCCAGGTGAGTTTTAATTCACACAACTAGCTAACACGCACACGCATGAAGAAATTAAAACGGGGAAGTGGTCATCAGCCTCATGTGGCCGACATGAGTATTACAACAACAAACACTTGATCTTAAAAAGAAAGGGGTTGGGGGGGTTATGAAGTATGGGGTGTGTATGTTTGTAGGTGTATTTATTTATCCATTTTATTTACCTAAAAGATGTCAAATGTTCCCACATGTTTCACAAATTTGAAAGAAAAGAGAACTTTGGCCATCTCAGCACAATCTTTTTTTCCCACCTGTTCTTCAGTCATAAACAAAAGAGGAATAAACTTTATATCAGACTTAGAAAATAGATCACCAGAATCTTTGTTTCCCACTTTCCTCTCAGGGCTTCTGTAACGATGTCTTCCACAATAAAGATGTTCACTTGTTTAAGACTTGATGACAAATGCTTTGATTGACAGGTACTGTGGCCCAAACACTGGCAACGTGCACATCATCGCAGACCTGTATGCTGAGGTCATCGGAATCCTGACGCAGTCAAAGTAAGCTGGCTGAATAGTAACTTCACACATTTTGTCATTAGTTTAGATATGTATATGTATGTGTATGTGTATGTATGTGTGTGTATATATATATATATGTATGTGTGTGTATGTGTATGTATGTGTGTATGTGTATGTATGTGTGTATGTGTATGTATGTGTGTATATATGTATGTGTGTATGTGTATGTATGTGTGTATGTGTATGTATGTGTGTATATATATATATATATGTATGTGTGTATGTGTATGTATGTGTGTATATATATATGTATGTGTGTATGTGTGTATATATATATGTATGTGTGTATGCGTGTATATATATATGTATGTGTGTATATATATATATATGTATGTGTGTATGCGTGTATATATATGTGTATGTGTGTATATATATATGTATGTGTGTATGTGTGTGTGTGTGTGTGTGTGTGTATATATATGTGTGTGTGTGTGTGTATATATATGTGTGTGTGTGTGTGT